CCCCCCGCCATCGCCATCGCCAGGGACGTCCTGCGGCCGCTCCCGGTGGGAACCGGGACTGGGAACCGCCGCCGAAACCGATCCCGAGCGGAACTTTGATGCCCGGAGGGAGTCGGCACCGCGAAGCCTTCGTCCCCCGAGGAAGAGGAGCGAGTGGCGGCGCCGCTCATCGCCGCCGCAACGAGCAGCGCGATGGGAAGAGGAGGCCGCGGCTCCGGGGGCGGCTCCGAGACCCGGCGGGCGAGAAATTCACCGGAATTTCACGGGAAAAACCCCAAAAGGGAGGAGAGATCCCGGGGCGGGGGGGAAAGGAGGATTTGAAGCCCCTCGCCAAGCACCAGCCAAGGGACCCCATCCCAAGCAGGGGGGGAACCCTCCACCCACATCCCGGGGGCACCCCCCCCGCAGGGACAGCCCGGGGACCCGCGGGGCTGCTTTTAACGGGGGTCTCCACCCCGCTCCCCCGGAGAAGGGGGACCTGGGGGTCGCGGCAGGTGGGGACCGTCCCCACGCCCCCTCCCACAGACCACGCAGCAGCCGAGCTCCTCTTCCCCGATGGTTTATTCTTTCCACATGCTAAAAGCCCCCTCGGGGGAAGGGACGGTGACAATGACAGGAGTGTTGGGAGGGGGCAGTGCCGGGATGGGGAGCATCCCAGTGCTGAGGGAGCCCCGGTTTCTCCGTGGTGGGCTGCAGCAAGACTCGTCCCCCCTACACAGTGTCCCACCCCTGGCAGAGGGACAGGGGCTTCCCTCGCTCAGGGGACACCGACGTCCCCCCGCCCCACACGTCCCCGGCAGCCAGCATCACCACGGACGGGAAAGCGGGGGCTGCCCCAGGGAAAGGGGCATTTCCGTGCCATCCCCTCGCCCAGGGGCCACCTCCACGCCGGGGGGACACAGGAGACTCGGCCGAGTCCCCCCCTTACATCGAGCCCCCGACTTCACCCGGGGTCCTGGCTCAGGAGTAGGCGAGGGGTAAGGAAGGGCTGAGCCCCCCCTGCCCCGGACCCACTGGCCGAGGACGGGGCAGCCCCGGCACGACGGAGGTCAGGATGGGGCCGTGCCCCCGTGCAAGAGCGGGGGGCCCGCCGCAGGAGGGGGGGGGTGTCCCGGGACCCCGCGGCGCTCAGGGCCCCGACTCCTTCTTCCGCTTCTGGAAGCGGCGGAATTTCCCCTGGATGGCGAGCGCGGCTTTCTCCGTCTCAGGGGCGCTCAGGTCGATGTCGATCTCCTCCTCCTCCTCCACCTTCTTGGGGTCGGTAGCTTTGGCTGCGGGGAGGAAGAGGAGGGGGGGCAGGAGGGAGAGGGCAGGGGCTGCCCTGGTTACAGCCTGGCACCCCCAGGGAGCATCCCGAACCCCTCCTCAGCAGGGGGTCACCCCATCACCCCCCACCCTCCCCCAGGGGACAGGGCAAGGACAGAGCAGGTCCCCAAATCCATCCAGGTATCACCCTCCCCCCACGGAGGGGTCACAGATCCCGGAGGCTCCAGAAGCGGGAGCAGCCAGCGGGGACCCGCACGCCGGAGCAGAGTGGGGGGCCCGGGGGACACAGGGCAGAGGTGACACCGGTGACGGGACACCCCCCGGGGTGCACCCCGCCGCTGCCGGGGGTCCTCACCTTCCTCCTGCCCGCCGGGGGCCTCCGCCGCCGAGGGGGACTCATGGGGGCTGCGCTGCGGAGAGAAGGGGGAGCCCGGGGGTGATGCGGAGCCCCCGGCAGCAAACCGGCACCGGGAGCTGGGGGGGACGGCGGACACAAGCCCCGCTTTGCCGGGGACCCCTGCGAGCCTCCGCGGTCTCCCCCCGCCTCCACCCCCCCCCTCGGGGTGCAGCATCCTCCCCGCATTCCCAGGGTAATTCCTCTCTCAGGCCGTTGCGAAAAATAACGGAGAAACGGCAAAAGCCCTTGTGCCGCCCGGCACCGGCCGCTCACCTCGCTCATGGCTGCTCCGGTGCCGCCGCCGTTCCCGGTGTGCGGCGCCCCGCGCTCCGCCGCGGCTTTTCTAGGGGGGCGGATGAGTGACAGCGACGGGCAACCAATGGGGTGCGGGGCCGGGGCCGGGTGGGGACCCGCCTCGCACCGTGTCCCCCCCCCAAGCCTCGACGCCCCAGGGAGCCGGATCCGGGGGGGGGCCGGGACCATCGTCACCCCCGGGCTCTCCCCATCCCCGGGTGGGGGACGGGGACGGACGGCGGGGACGGACCGCGGGGGGGGACGGGCCCTGCTCGGGGAGGGGGACACCGCTGGAACCTCCCCGCAGCTGCCGGTGACAGCGACCTTCCTCCGGGATCACCGACGGCGGGATGGCCACCGCCGTGTCCCCACCCCCGCCACCGCCCTGTGTCCCCCTGCCGGTCCCCCGTGTCTGCCGTGCCCGTTCCTCCCTGTCCCCGTTTGTCCCCCCCCGCGCCGCCTGTCCCCCCCCCGCGCCCTCCCCGCGCCGTCCGTCCCCGCCCGCCGCAGCCTCGCTCAAGTTCAAGGTTCAAACTCCACGACCGGGAGGCGACGGGGACAAGCGGGGACCGGGTGGCCCCTCGCTGTGTGGCGGCAAACACCGGGCACCGGCGGCCACCGGGTCCCAGGTACCGGGGCACCGACGGGCACC